ACACACACACCAGGGGTGCCAACAGAATGTATACAAGTGGATACTTTGGTCAATGTTGCTAAAGCAGTAGTTCACCATAATCAGAAGTGTCTGATGGTAACCACTTTGAACACCTCTTGTAATTGCAAAAGTCAAATGTGACTGGTATTTATCTTTTGTTATTGGTATATTATTGTGTTTTACAATTTTAATATGGTTTTCCTTTCTTAAAATGTGTACAATTTTTTTGGCACCTGTGTGTGTGTGTGTGTGTGTGTGTGTGTGTGTGTGTGTGTGTATTTTCCCGCTTGCCTTTGTCAGCATCTGTATTTTTTTAAATAAAATCTTGGCAATTTGATAGGTTAAAAAGCTTGATTTGTTATTTTATATTAATATTATTTGCTAGTGAGGTAGAGTACCTGTGGGAATTAATTTTTTTCTATGGATTATCTCTCTGCATATATTAAGAAGCTCATCTTTTTCTTTCCTAGTTTACTACCTCACACTTTTTAGAATGGCTATTAACAACAAAACACGTAATAACAAGTGTTGGAGAGGCTGTAGAGAAAAAGGGACCCTCATACACTGTTGGTAGGAATGTAAATTAGTACAGCCGCTATGGAAAACAGTATGGAGGTTCCTCAAAAAGTTAAGAATAGAGTTACCATGTGACCCAGAAATTATTCTTTGGGTGTCTACTCAAAAACCTGAAAATGCTTATTTGTAAAGATATATGTACCCCTAGATTCATTGCAGCATTATTCATGGTGGCCAAGACATGGAAACAACCAGAGCGTCCTTTGATAGATGATTTGATAAAGAAGATGTGGTACATATATACAATGGAATATTGAGGTATAAGAGAATACAAGGGGTCAAACATATGGTGACCAGGGAGATTTGACGTTGGGTGATAAACACTCAATGCAGTATATAGATGATATATTATAGAATGGTACACTTGAAACCTATATACTTTTATTAACCAATGTCACCCCAATAAATTTAATCAAAAAATGATTAACCTTGTCTCATAGATTTTTTTCCAAGCTGTTTTATTTTAATATTTTTGTTTATATTTAAATAATTGTATTGCAAAGTACGTAGTATATAATTTTAATAAGTAGAACAGGAATTTTCAAAGAAACTTTAGTTCTATTAAAATAGTTTAAGAGGGTTCAGGGATAAAGAATTCAGAAAGAAAAGAGATGAAGAGAGTGAGACATTTCTCGCCCCCAGGGAAAGGATGGAGAACATCTGACCTGTCGTGAGAGGGGATAGAAGACCACCAATGACAAACAAAGAAGTCTCCCTAGACGCAGAGAGGAAGGAGGAAGGAAACAAGAAAGCAGGGATTGCTGCCTAGAAGCAGGGAAGAAGAAAGTAGTGTATCTCTGAATGTTAGCTCTAGACGTGGGAAGACTATGATTCTCTTTTAAAATAATTATTTGATGAACCCCAGCTTTTCAATACTCTTTCTCTGTAAATAATAAGAAGCCTTCCCTCACCTTTCTTTGCATTGTTTCTGTAGTAACCACAAGGGCAGTATCACTCTCAATAGTAAGGATCTAGTTCGCTTGGTTTTTTTTTTAACCAGGCAATTTAAAACAGGGAATCTAGGAGAGAAGCAGTATGGTTAGTAATTAAGCCAGAGTCCTCTTAAAACCAAAGGACCAGATGTAAGTCCTGCCTATTATCACAACTTTAAACTATTTGCTAAGAAAAACGGAAAAGCAAAAAATAAATTATTTGCTGAATAATCGTGGAGAAGTCTTTTAATCTCTCTAAATCTTGGTTTCCTCTTCTGTAAAATGGGAATGAAACTACCAAAAGGGATGTAATACTGTGTTTCCCCAAAAATAAGACCTAACCGGAAAATAAGCCCTAACATGATTTTTCAGGATGCTCGTAATATAAACCCTACCCCAAATATAAGCCCCAGTTAAGATCGTCAGCCAGACATGACTGTTTGAATAAATGTAGATTTCTGTACATGAATAAATGAATAATGTAGATTGTTGGAGCAAAAATTAATGTAAGACCTGGTCTTATTTTCGGGGAAACACGGTATGTGGTGAAGTGCTTTGGAAAGTTCAGTGCCAGGGCTCACTGGAAGTTGTAAAGTTTAGGTTAGACATCTTCATGGTGGTGGTGGTGGTGATCGGGGGTTATACTCCAGGATGCACAGAGGACATTTGTTTAGTGGAGTAATGTTGGCAAATGTAACACTGGGAAGAGACCAGTCGGACAGATAGCTCTTGAACACTTTCTTACAGATAGCCTGCAGTTGCCAACACCTAACAAGAGAATTCAAATGTACTAAACAGTATTTTTTGAATACCTTATTTTTTGTTTATGTGCATAATTACAATTCTAGTCATAGATTATATCAACTTTATTTTATATCGTTTTTTTTCTCCCTTCTAGATGAACGGGACAAAGTTCAAAAGAAAACGTTTACAAAATGGATAAATCAGCATCTCATGAAGGTCAGTTTATATTTCTTTCACATTTTGGAATTGTTTTGCATACTTTATTATGCAGCAGTTGATTGTATGTCTCTGAAGCACAGCTTTTCAATACCAACTTGAAAATTTAAATTCTAGAGCATTTCACATGCGTTTTAGGCATCTATAATTACGTGGTGTGTGGCCTGCGGGTAAGAATGGAGGTGGGAAGATAAGAACCCAGTGATTACAATATTCTGTGACATTAGTAAAACTATTATTATTGGACTGTAAAAAATCTCAGCAGTTTAAGAAATATGTAAATATTACATGTTAGGGCATGGAAAAACTGCAATTCTCAGTAAGGTTTTTTTCTTTCAAGATTCAAACCAAGTTCTGGCATAAGATTTATGTGGATGGCAGAGGGGTAGATGAGAATAAAGATAGATTATAAAGACAGAAGTCTGGACTCATTTTATTTCTTGTACTAAGTATGACCCAGAAATTCATACTTATGTATACACTTCTCTGTGAAACAGTTAATAGTTGTGATTCTTAAAATAATATTTATTTGTGTGTCACGGGTCACTTTAAGAAACTGATATAAGCTCTCCAGAACAATACACATGTTCACAAAATTTGCATACCATTTCTTGGAGTTACTAGATTCCACTGAAGCCCTTCTGTAAATCTCAGTTAAAGAACCCATAGGAATTCACAATTAGTCATTTTTTTCCCCTTTTATGGACAGTTGTAAATTGGAAATAGATAATGTTTTAAGTCTAATGTTGGGGATTTGGAAAGAGTTTTCTCACATAGAAACATTATTTAAAATGTGGTTGTATTCTTAAGCTATCCTACAATTCCTATTTAAACCATCATGTAGCATTGAAGTGTTACCAATAATATAATAGCATATAATAACCTTCTATAAAAATGATTCGTATTTTAGGGGGCATATCGGAATTACCTGAGAGGCATTTAGTTTCCTCTCTTTCACCTCCCACTGACAAAATCCTTTCCCAAATCCTGATAGGTCCTTCAGGGAGGCCATGTCACCCATTTTCCAACTGAGAATCACTTCTATAAGGGAGCTTCTGTTACTAGTGGGGGCTAAATCCTCCGGTGTGTTGGCAAAAGATAAGAGGCTGAAATCCTCTGCTTTATGATCCTTTCAGAAGAAATATATTGTGAATTTTAATGAAGGATATGAGCAGTTTACCTACTCTCTTCCAAGCTTTTGCCTCATCCTACATGTGCCATGCACACAATGTGAGTGGTACTCTTTTCTACAGACTAGGGTAGATACGGGCTGATGTGAGCATCGGGATGTGGACCTTTGGAGCTGAAGGCCCTGATAGGATTTTCCTATTTCTGAGGGGAATCCAGGGAAAGCAAGATTTTTGATGAAGAGGTACCCCTGTGGGGTGGCTGGGTACCTAGGGGTGGGCATATGGTGGCACAGAGAGTTACCGCGTGTCTTGCGGAGTGTAACTGTTATGGTTTCAGGTAGGTAATCAAGTCACAACTACTGGCAGTGAACACCAGAGAGAAACAGAAGCACAAATGAGGATGACTCCCATGGGAACCGTAGCACTGGCACTAGACAGATTTATTGGGGACCCGCCATGTGTCAGGCGTGCTGGACTTGACCATTCATCTTATGGGTAGTTTATAAATTGGATGATTGAGTATGTGTAAGGAGACTGACTGCCTTTGCTAAAAACGTCAGAACATTAGTTGAGCGGTTGAGGACAAAGGCTGTGTTACTCACTCCTAGGGCCCATCCAGTGGCAAGAGTATTCTAACTGTATGTAATACACATTGCATATGTTTAGTTGTTCCAACAACCCACTAAGGTGGTTTAATTTAGTGGCTACACACGTAGCTTTCAGAGTCAGATAGCAAGGGTTGAAATTCCTGATTTACCTGGAATGTGCAACCTTCTTTGATAAAATGACAAATCTCAAAGATGTAAGTCTTAATTTTGCTTCCACAGAGTAAGAATTGGGAAAATAAATATTTTAGGCACAGCAGCCAATGGATAGATGCCAGTCCAACTGATTAGGGTTATAGTTAAATGAACTTGTTCGTTTCTTGGAGTCAGAATTTAAAATGAGCTCTTATTAAATAAAGAGCTGCTTTATGGAGGGGGGAAGTTAACCAGTATAGTCTTGGCTAACTCCCACTTACATTTTTGTGCTATTTGTTCTAGAGTCAGCTCTAGCCTTTCCTTATAATCTTAAGAATTGTGCACTGACATAAATGGGATAAAATAAATAGTATCCCATTCAGCTTTCACCTAGAAGATATGAGACTCTGTTAAGTAATAACGCAAAACTCAAATATGTGAGAACATAGTTTTGTAATCTTCCATTCTTTTTTGCCTAGAGGTTATAGCATTAACCTTAAGTGACAAATAATAATTAAACATCCCAAAACATTTTGGGGCACCGGGCTGTTAAAGTTTGTGTTGTTATTAGTTAACCAGAGTCAGTTCAGCCTTCATGTGATCGTTTCCATGTTTGACCCAAGTGATGATGAAAGGAATGTTGTACTATGTGGTCAACCTCATTTTGTCTCACTAAAAGGAATGTTGGACCCTTTTGTTGTCGGTGGCCATTTGGTTATAATCCAATTGGTGGGAAATACAAAATAAGTATATGAATTTTAGGTAAAACTCTTACTATTAGAAATATTCTGTATTCATTTTCTTATATTCTTCTCTTGAAATATTGAACATATTCAGAGAGAAA